AAATTGGCCTGTCGAAACCAAGTGTGCAGTGTTCACTCGGTTGTCTACAGAAGCAGGTCACTCTCAATGTGTGTCATGCGATCGTCTGTTTACTCGGCAGCGACCATTATGTGGCCCTCCTCATTGTTCTTCATCAGCAGTACCGTTTAGTGATAAGTGTGTGCTCCATTGCTGCAATGGAAGCGCTCTGCCCCCTGCTGGCGAAACTGCCATACAATGAAACTCCTGGAAGCGGCTCCCGTTCTGATGGAGGAGGCTTATTGGATAGTGGAAGATAAAGTGTTTATTGTACGTTTTGACTATAGTTTTAATATGTATTGTATAGTGAACAAGAATCCTCGGCTCTGTAAAGTTAATTCAATTGAGCCTTATCAAATAAATTTAAAAAAAAACAGAAACCAAGTGAACATATATTAGGTTTCTGGCCACTGTGGAATTTAAGGGAATGAAAAATCCGACACATTACCTAGGCTAGGATCAACTCAACAATGCAAAGGATCAGTACTACAATAGATCAAATTACTAGTCACAGTGGTGTTATGTCCCGAACAGAGGAAAAAAAAAATCAGAACTATTCTGTGGATTTTTTGCTTGTTTTCTTAAAATGGAGATCAAGAAATGGGAAACAAATAAAGCTAAGACCAACTACAACAACACATCCATTTCTAGGCAGTCGAAGCGGTTCATAATTCCGAACATTTCAATGACTAGCAGAATTATCAATCGAAAGATCTCAGTGTCTATACTGGTTTGATAACAGGACATTGTCCTTGTAAATATCTCTTGAAGGGTGACCAAATCGTTTCAAATGGTGGTCATACTAGTTCAGAAATCTGTCACTACGCTACGCTAATGTGCATATAAACTTCCTATATAAGCTGTATCTCGAGATTCTGCACAGAAAAAAAAAATCTGAATTTTAACTATCGCGTAAAATTTTCGTTTAATTTCGAGCTATACTTGACATAAACAGCGGAATCGTTTACAAACTTACATACAATATTGTAAAAGGTTACTATCCTCATCAAAATTGTTTAGATGACCATGCCTTTTCGGATGGTGGATACTAGATCAGAACTCTCTCACTACACGGCGCTAGTGGTGAGGTCGCTATAAACATTGACTGTCTTCAGATAAGTTGTTCAGATGGCCACGGTATTCCCGATAATGTTCACATTAGCTCAGAACTCTCTCGCTACGTGCATGCAAACTTCATGAATAACCCAATACTAACCTAGAACTACTGCTGTTTAAAAGGTAAATTCAAACACTACTGATTTTTGGCTCCGCAAAGTGTCACACACGACTGAGCCTAATAAATAAACGAACTAGTTAAAAAAAAAATTCATGAATATGCTATGTCTCGAAGCTTACCCTGCATGTTGCTGTGCAATATGCGTATTTTCGGAACTGGGGTGACGTGTAGAGGCCAAACATCTATGCTGGATACTAGAAAGGGTCTGGTATAAGAGAGGAGCGGACTGGTTGGTTTTGAGCCAAACGAACTGTCAAAGCCAGAGCCAATTGAGCAGCGCCTATCTTGATTGCATTGGCAGTGTTGCCAGAAACCACCTAGGCATAGGTTGCCAAGGCAGTTTGTTTTGAATCCGCTCCTCTCTTACCACTGGACACCATTTTGAAATCCAAGATGGCGGTAATCTGTTTTAGAAAAACTGTTGAATACCCCTCAATAATTGATATTTTACCGACGTGTAGAGGTCAAAAATCGATGTTGGAAGCCTTGATGGCGTCCACTGGTTTAAGAAATACTGCCAACAATATGGGTACTTTCGGAACGAGGAAAACATGTAGATGTGGAAATACGGTGCTCAACACCATTTAGGAATCCAAGATCATGTCCATCGGTTTTTGAAAAATTGAGTATTATCGGAATAAGGACAAATTTGGAATCCAACATGGCGATCATCGGAGTAAGAAAAAAAATAACAAATACCCTACAATATGGGTACTATCAGCCATCATTTGGGAATCCATAATGACGGCAAAAACACCCATATTGTAGGGTATTTAACAATTTTTTTTTTCTAAAACCGATGGCTGCCATCTTGGGTTCCAAATTGACGGAGGACATAGATGTTTACCTCTACACGTCGTTCCCGTTTTGAACATACCCTATTGTAGGATTTGTAAGATTTTACTCAAAACATGATGGCCACGATATTGAATTTCAAAATGGCGGCGGACATCGAATTTTGATTAGTACACGTCGACCTCGTTCCGAAAGTACCTATATTGTTGGGTATTTGACAGTATTTGTAACACCAATGGGCACCATCAGAGGCGCGTCCACCTTCAAAGATGTGGGTGGGACAAGGTACTATCAACCAGTGGAAACTAACAATTTTAAATTGGCTCACACTGGACTAGTCTATCAGTTTCCAGTACATCGATGAACGTACCCCATTCTAGTCGAAATTCTAGTACTACACTACGTTTATTTTGATTCGCTATGAAAGTTTGACAGATAAAATGAGGGGTTCATGGATTTTCCTATGTTTTGAGGGGTGCATCGATTAGCTTGGGACCGAAGAGAGTACCAGAACTGAGCCAAAAAGTTGAGTACGTTTCTTCGGGACCTTCTGGTCTTAGAGTTTCCCTCTATGGTACTATGGTATCATAGAACTTTTTTGAATATTTTTGAAATCGTGAACTGGTTTCGGAGATTTATAACCGGAACATGTTCTAGTTTGTAAATAACCATGAAACCCATCATGTGACACATCAAATTACATGAGAGTTCAAAAACCAGTTCAATGGTAGTAATAATCACAGCACAGAACTATACGGACCGTAACGTGGGTAGATCACCTTTTCGTGGTACGTTACGGGATGTAAGATCTACCACCGATTCCTAGTTCTGACTGCTTCAAACTAGGGGAACAGGATTTTTCAGTAATCAAAGGAACACATCTTAGTCTTTGTTACTTTGTATGCCTTGTTGATAGTGACAAGACTCGGCTTTGTCCACCGAGGATGATCTTGAAACAAGAAACAAATTAGTTACTTAGTCTTCATTATTGTGATTCCTAATCTTCTATTCGTTGTTCCCTAGTTTGAAGTGATTAAGACTAGGGTTCTGATGCATGATCATTATCGGTGTAATTCCTTAATTTTGTTGCTAAGGAATCAAATTTTGACTGACAAAGGGCGCGCCTTTGGAGGGTGTTTCAACACTCCGAAGGGTATAAATAGCGGGACCTTTCAATTAGAGTCGGATCCTTGCGATAAATGCAAGAATGACAACTGTAAAATAATCGAATACTTCATCATTTCCCAATAGTGATGGAGTAATACGACATGGACTAAACTAAGGACATGGGATATACTACAATAGATCAAATGACTGGTCGCAGTGGTGTTAGGTACCGAATAGAGGAAAATAATAATACGGACTACATCCGGCCATGTTACGGGAACCCCCGGCCCCAGTTTCTAGCTACTTAGGGCCAAAATCTATCACCTTAAATCACATCAAAATTAATCTTTTCTCATCGTACCAGCACTTCAGGTGTGAATTTCTATTAAGTCAACTTTCCATTTCTCTATATTCGAGGACCAACGAGATAGGGAGAGCACGACAGCCAGAACAGAAATTTATCAGGCATATATCCAGAACGATTCTAGAAGTACTTTGTAGAGCATCCAATGCAAAACTCGATAGCTGGTGAACTTGATTTTTCCATCGACATATGGAGAGTAATCTGCTCCTCATCGCAAGTTGGTCCCATCTGCGTTTTTGTCAAAACTGAGGTTTTGACACATTTTCAACTTTTGATGACGCATATATTTGCGTCACTCTTGACTTTTACTGTGAGCGACATGGATGCTCACCATTACGTCGAGCCCGTGCCCTCATACCTAATGCTATGTTTACGAATCATATGCGATTTTTTGTCGGTAGATGATTGTACATCATAGAAACAAATTTGATATACTATTTAGCATTCTACCTTTTATGGGAATTAATTTTAAGCTACTCTTTGAGAAATGTATTTCGGAGCATTTATAGCCCACAGCGCACAAGGCTGAAATAAATTATGATCAAACTGTACACTTTGTAGAAAATTCCAAACTCTTACCTAGTAATCGGAACTGGGAAAGCTTGAGCTTGACAGAACAGTGCCAAACTGGTATTGCTAGCCTTGGTATAGGATCTACTGTTCTCATCCGACGGAAAAGTAGGGGCTTTAGAGCCGATGGGTTCTAGGCATGGACAAATAATTTGGTGAGCATTGTAGCAAGCTAGACTATCCTGAACGTTGGGAAAGGTACCTTCGCTTACTAAAGGAAACAAGAACGAAGAAGTCAATTACCGATACACGGGAACCGGAAATGCCTGAGCGTTGCACATTATGGTCAACTGTTTTCCTTGTTCAATGCTGATAACGAAAACGGCAGCATCATTGTTGAACGATGGCGGCTTAAAACCAACGGGTTCTGGTTCAAAATGAAAAATGTAATGATTTTGCAAAAACAACCAAAATCTCCACATTTGTCTGACAGTTGGGATAGAGTATGGAGCGGGAATGTAGAATACCTGTAAATCGGTACGGGAAAGGCCTGAGCATTACAAAGCAAGGTAACGTGCGTTCCTTGTCCACAGTTGGCAGCGTACTGAGTGGCATCATTGTTGAAAGCAGGTGCTTTCGATCCGATGGGTTCTGTGGGATCCCAATAAAATATTTTGAAGTAAGTTCCTCGCCCTTAAACCTGAACATTGGAAATGTTAACCATTGAAAAGAAGGGAAAACTACCTGAATATCGGAACCGGATACGCCTGTGCTTGACAGAGTAATGCAACGCTAGTGTTCACGGCAGCGTCGACGTAGTTCATCGAATTTGTGGCAAACGATGGAGCTTTACTGCCAATCGGTTCTGCAGGACGTTGAACATTCAAATCAAACTCAAAAAGGAATCTACGCGAACGACAATTTTGCCTGAATCGTTGGGAATCGGAGACACACTGTTGATTGACTTACTTGAAAACGGGAACTGGGTAAGCCTGCGCCTGACACAGCAGTGCAATGCTGGAATTGATGGCCGTATCCAGATAGGTCATGATATTGGACCCGAACGAGGGAGCTTTGCTACCGATTGGTTCTGCGACAGGAACCATAAAAACGAGCGAATGAGAATGTAAGAAACTGTATCGAAATAAGCCTAACTGGGAACCTAGGGTACCATCTGTTGCTCTGAACAATAGTTTTGATTCCGCAATGTGACTTACTTGTAAATTGGAACGGGAAAAGCCTGCGCTGGACACAACAATGCCAGTGTACCGTCAATGTTAGTTTTAACGAAAGCCATCGAATCCGAGGAGAACGATGGGGATTTGCTACCGATTGGTTCTAGAGACAGGTGAATGATAAGGAAACAATGGATTCAGTTCACAAATCTTGAAAGAATCTCTGAACAAACACCTGAACGTTGGGTTGGGCTAGTTGCAATCGAAATCGAAATCGACCAAGTTTGTACAAAACATACCTGAAAACCGGAGTCGGATAGCCTTGAGCCTGACAGAGCAGAGCAATGGTGTCGTTTGTCGGTGCCATCATGATGGTAATGACCGTTGTGGAGGAAGATGGTGCCTTACTCCCAATCGGTTCTGAAAAGTTCAAATATCGCAAGGTTTATAAGACGTCCAACGGAGATGCAGTGAGAAGCCTGTGTTGGAACGTTGGGTTCCCGTTTTCATTGCATCGTTTCTTAGTAATTCATTTCAAGCTTGGACAACCTGAAGAAGATCATCCAAAGTGTTCGAATCGTCGGAAGGTGTCCTGAGTTATGTCCTGGGCTATTCGGATAAAGTCCTAAATAAATTTGAGGCTAGAAGTGTTTCATGGCTTCTAGGGGACTTGACATGGATGTAGTTCAGCAGACTGCTCAAAATGTTTTGTCAATCTATCAGTGGAAGACATCAAGTGGAAACAAGAGGATCGCTGAAGTATTTCAGAGCATGCACCTTTCGCAGCTAATAAAAGGAGTTTCGTTTCGTTTCTGAGGTAGATTTTAAAACCAAACGATCAAACTGACGTTTGTCAGAAAACAATCTTGATACCCGATCCAGGTTAGAACTGAATAATAAACGAATTCGCTATAAGACACCATAGGGGAAAACTTTGCGCGAGTTTACAAGCGATTCTATAAAATGTTGAAAGGTTTTCCACATTTCAATATTAAAGGGCATACATGAAGGGCTTCGAAGAGCTTCCAAGCGTTGTTCAGGGAAAATATCACGGCCTTCATGTGAGAACGAGAACACAGCTCAGCTCTCAGTATCACGATATGAAACTATCAATCATGATCCTTCGTGTAATTTTCCACTATTCAACCACTCGTGAGATTAATTCTCATTTTGACGACATTTAGGGAAGCAGCAATATGTACTCGGTACAGTATCAATCATATCAATAAATGAGTTTGTAATTGCAATACACTGACACGTTCCATCATGACAAATAAATTGATGAGATTTGAAGGAGATCTCTATCATCGTTTTCTCATCTGATGATAGTGACAGTAACCTCTTTAAAAATCGCGTAATATCTTTCATTGAAAGTGTCAGCCCTGATCGGAATGCAACACTATTTTCGAATCTAAGATGGCGAATTTAAATATAAGATAGAGGCATTCGGCCAAAACTCCAATAGCCTCACTTTTTGACGTAGGACCATAGCAAGACCCACTATAATGCGTCACCGTCAGTTTTGACGAAGGGGTTCGTCCGTCACATGGCAGGTGTAACGCATGTCAAGTTGCTTTTCCACCATCTTGGCGACTTCACATCGACGCTGCGTTATACCCCGTTCACATTACAGCGTATATCACGTGATATACGGTGTCTTGCAATGAGCACTCATACATCTAGTTTTCACTGGAAATCCTTTGTATGAGTGCTCATTGCAAGACAGCCTATATTACGTGATATAGGCTATAATGTGAACGGGGTATTAGTCCGTCAATTTCGATCAGTTTCAAATTTGACGCTGATCTTGACTGTGACGCAATATTGTGGGTACCGCTTATGTCTTTGTCGAAGGTATCGAAGCAGCGTCACGAAATCTTGTAAAGATTTAAATGCTTATAACTTGGCTGTTTATGGATATACACTCCCGATCATAAGTTTGGGGTCACCCTTTAAAAAATATGTAAAAGTTTTTTGCTCATATCTCTGCCATTTTACGAACGATTTTCGATCTTTACAGGTTATTTGAAAGGTATTGACTGAAATTTAGGTTGTATGTAACTGGTTCAATACATACTACAATTTGTGTGTACTAAAAGTCTTCCTAAAGTTTCAACATTTTCCAAAATTCACACTGAATATTCATGACTGATTTCCATATATTTATACTAAAATCCCAAGTAAACCTACAACAGCGTCAAATCATACTGCGAGGTGACCCCAAACTTTTACAAACGCCAATACCGCAATGATTCTATTTCCCAAAATCAGGACATAGAGCTTCAAATAGCAATCGGAATCCAAGGTCCTACCTAAACACCGGTACCGGGAAAGCCTGAGCCTGGCAAGTGAGCGCAACGGTTGAATTGAACCCGGTTCGTAGTACGGCAATGGACTCCGACGAAAAGGAAGGCCCCTTACTGCCGATTGGTTCTGAAAATTAGAATCACAAACCTACGCTGAATCTTTACCATTCACGGGCAATTACGCGAATATGATCTGAATGGTGAGATAGGGTTACCAGTCGTACCTGAAGACCGGAACTGGGTAAGCCTGCGCTTGACACGTCAGAGCCGTACTGGAATTGCTGTGGGTGCGAACCGCTACGGTAACGGCATCATTCGAGAATGAAGGCGATTTACTGCCAATCGGTTCTGAAACGGTCGATTTTGTACGGTTTATAGGTGTATAAGTCAGAATTCAGGTTAGGTTTCCTTTTTGCGTGTTTTCTAAATTTATGAAAAAGATAATTGCACGCGTACCTAAACACCGGAACGGGAAAAGCCTGTGCTTGACACGTCAGAGCCGTAGTGGTGTTTTCGTGCGTGCGAACACCCATGGTGACTGCTTCACTTGCGAAGGAAGGAGACTTGCTACCGATGGGTTCTGAGAGGAATAAATTCATTTTACTCATTTACAAAATTTGAAGATGTAACATTCCTGAACGCAACATGTTGGGATAGGATAACCTGACCGTATTTAGCTACCAGATAGGACAAAAGAATACGATACTGGTGTTGCAGCGTCGTTCCAGCAAGATCTTATAGCTCGACAGAACTGGCGGTTTGGCACCGATCGGCTCTGAAAAGGGATATGTAGTCGATACGGTTGCTATTTCCCTACTTCAAATGATCACAACAAGTTGACCTGAATGTTTGCCTCTAACCCCGGTTCTCACCTAAAACTTGGTGCAGGAAAACCCTGTGCCAGGCACAGCAGCGCAGTATCCGTTCTCGGACTGACCTCGACAGGCTTCTGCATGAGCGCCGGAGTTTTCGGCGGGGTACTTGAAATGGGTTCTAGAGAACGATTCACAATTACTTTTCATCTTGTGGAGGGACAGCGGCGAGTATTATGGCCATGAATGCTGGGATAGGAATTGACCGACTAAATTGGAACAGTACCTGAAAACGGGAACCGGGAAGGACTGTGCCGGACAAAGCATGGTCACGTTATCGTGGAACTGCACCAGCAGCTTGCGGCTTTCGTCACCCGAAGTCAGCCTAGGAGCGACGCTACCAACCGGTTCTGGCAAGTAAGAGAGTAAACAGTGGATATTTGGTCAACAAAAAGTTACCTATCCGTGGTTCTGAATGTTAGGATGAGGGTCCCAGGAGTTCTACTTCGCTATAGTTGATTGTAAGAATACGTCCCACATTTGTGGACATGTCAGCTGCAGGAAGCGTATTCGAAATCCAATAGTCGTGAACACCTGATTTTTGTACGATGACTCCAAATACAAATGCTTTTTGTGTCATCCGGAGAAGCAACCGATGGATTTCTGCCTAAAGAAGAAGAGCTGGCAGTCCCCAAAACAGAGGAAGAAGGAAGATAACAACACATCCATAATGCTCAAATTGACACCGTGATTAGAGTAGCAACAAGGTGCCGCGGTAGAATTTGCCTTCTGGTGAAGATGAATAAGAAGAGAAAGCAACTAACGGCGGAGAACTCAACTGCCAAATGTTGCTCTCAATGACGAACAGTTGAGGGCCTGTTTCAATATTACAAAATGCAAAAGGAGCTGAGGGTATCCTGACAACGTGTTGCACACCACGAAAATTGCATGACGAGACGGTTGGTATTCAAATAACACCAACTTTTTTGCGTAGCGTAATATAAGAACCAACCCTGAACGACGATTATTTTCAAATGAACGATAGGTCACCCGCTCACAATATCTGATTTGTAGAAAAATGGACGATAAGTCCGACTAAAAATTGTAGATATAAGCTCATCCTACTGAAGGAGATAACGATCAGGACGGAATGGTAACTGAACGAGGGTGGTTGCTAGGGACGCCGAATTTTAAGACATGTCTTCATTTTAAATACATTTGACTGAAAGAAATGTTTGGTATATTTCTTGTTTTGGGAAGATGTTAGAATATACGTTGAAAAAAGCCTTCAATTTGTGAATTCTAATCAGCATGTTTAGATTTTTGCTGTAGGAATAAAGATTTCGTCTTCAAATTTTAGTATCCACAGGACTTAACCGAAATCTTCAATAAGCTGTAGATACATCGTGATTAACGTGCCAGTTTGGAAGCATATCTCAGGGAAGGCATTTGAATTTTTGAACAGCTGACGGTCTTCACAATAATACTTGTTCAACCTTGAGTCTTTAAAAATATCCAGTAGACTTAATTGAAGTCTTCGGTCAGCTTGAGATACTTCGATCAGCCGTAGATACTTCCTGATCAACCTACCGTCATGGGAGTCGTCAACCTACCGCCTCGAAGTCGTCTTTCTAATTTTAAGTTTAAGATACTTTAAATGAATGAGCTTCATCAACCTGAAGTCTTGAGATCTTTCAAATAATTTCCATGATAATATCTGTTCAACCAGCAATGTTGCGATAATATCTGGAGGCGTCATTAATATTTTTTAAACCGTTTCAGAATAATACTTGAACA